ACACCCAGGGGGTTCGTGGCCTTGCGGCGGGGCCGAGCCCCGCAGCCCGCGCACCCACCCCTCCAGTGCCCAGGTGCTCGGTCACCGGGAAGCAGGGGGGAGGGGGAGATGGCAGACTGCCTGCCCACGCTCTGTGCTGCCTGGACCTCCGAGGGTCCGAGGGCGGAGGTCGTCTGCAGTCGCCGGGACACTGAGGACCGGAGGGCGTTTGGCCCTGCAGGGCTGCATCTGTTTCCCACGGAGAAGAGCAGGCCCTTTGGCTAAACGTTACACACACGTGCTAAATAAACCATTGACAGCTATTTTTTTTTCTTTTCCAAGGAAATCTGAAAGTTTCACCAGAGAATAGCAATTCTATTTAAGAAAAGTGAATCGATTGACAAACAGCACACATCGGTGGCTTTTCTATACGGAATAAAATAATTGCTTCAGAGGTGAGAGCATGAGTTGGCTGGCATAAAAAGTTCATTTTAGCTGTCCGTACCTTAGGAGTTCAGGTGTCAACGTTGACCACTATCTGGATGGATGGTGGTTCTGGCTGGATTAGAGTAACGAATAGCTCAGACCCACAACATTCACAAGACAAGATGTAAGGTTGGCAAAAGTAGTTTTTACTCAACTTTTGGAGGGCTCTCAATTAATAGGACAGCAACTAGGCCAGGTTCACATTTGTATATTTTTATTTTACAAACATACAGGCATTAACACTTAGTATAATTTATACATGGAAGTTCTTCATTTTAAAATGCAACGCTTTTTCATCGTTTTCTCATTTTTTTTTCTTTATACATGTTGGCTATACTTTAATTCATAGTACCTTTCTCCCAAGAATTTCAAGTACAAATAAAAAGGAAATTAGAGAATGGAGTAACTGAGGTATTAAGAGATCAAGGGAGCCACTGGCGGACCCTAGGAGTAAATCCAGGTTTACTGCAAGGCAGTGCTCCTTGAACCACTAAACCCTGTGAACACACTGGAAATATATTAGTGGGCCAAAAGATTTAAAAAGCAGTCCCCAAACTGAGTTCTCTAAAACTCCACAAAGGGGCCAGGAGCTGTTTTCAGTGTATTATAAAGTGTAAAGGTATACTATTGAAAACACACCTATTGATAAAGTTGTACAAACTAGACCCAGTTTTCTTTTCTATATCAAAGTTGGTATAGAAAGCCTCGTTATGCAGGTCAGAAGTTCTGATGGTCTTATCTGTGATATAAAGAAGGAAAACATGGTTGCCAGACATAATCTTTTTATAGTGAGTGGGAGGTAGGGCAGAGGGGGCTGATGGTGAAAACTGTAAAAAACATTCATTTGAAAAATTTGAATGTTTCAAACAGTCTTTAAATACAGAGCATATAGCCCTAACCGGTTTGGCTCAGTGGATAGAGCGTCGGCCTGCGGACTCAAGGGTCCCAGGTTTGATTCCGGTCAAGGGCATGTACCTTGGTTGCAGGCACATCCCCAGTGGGGAGTGTGCAGGAGGCAGCTGATCGATGTTTCTAACTCTCTGTCCCTCTCCCTTCCTCTCTGTGAAAAATCAATAAAATATATTTTAAAAAAATACAGAGCATATAGCATATATTTGGGCTATCTTTTTAAAAACTTCTATTTCCAGGCCTTCCCTCTCTAATTTCTAACTATAATTCAGATTAAATAATCATTTAACAGTATTTAATTTGAGCTCTGTAGTGAGATTTCTAGATAGGGGTAATAAAAAGGATTCTAAGTCTCACACCTCACATCTATTCTTTTTGAAGCACTCTTGCTCCAAGGGAATTCTTTTATTACTGCCAAATAACAGCAAAATTATCAAATGGAGAAAAGACCTCTCATCCTCAGCTTCTCAATAGGCACAACCATGAAGAATGCCTTATGTTTCTGGTGTCCCTGTTTTTTGCCTCCACCACTATGAAGCCATGGCTTATGTTATTATGAAGTCCTCTCAGCCCAACCAGATGCCTTCCCAGCCACGGTCGATTCATTTGAGATCCCCCAGAACCTATAACAGACCTCCATTAACTAGTTACTACATTGTCCTCAATGCTTAGGGGACACTCCTACAACCCAAAACTGTGCCTTTCCTTAAGCAGAAATTAATGTCTTTATTGAACTCTGTATGTCCACCTCAGGCCTGTATCTGGCACTTATAGGCACTCACATGTTTGTTGGATGTGTATTTCTTTTTTCTTTTTTTAAAATATATTTTATTGACTTTTTTACAGAGAGGAAGGAAGAGGGATAGAGAGTTAGAAACATCGATGAGAGAGAAACATTGATGAGCTGCCTCCTGCACAACCTCCACTGGGGATGTGCCTGCAACCAAGGTACATGCCCTTGACTGGAATCGAACCTGGGACCCTTCAGTCCACAGGCCGACGCTCCATCCACTGAGCTAAACCAGTTAGGGCAAGGATGTGTATTTCTTGACAATCCAGCCAGCAAAATGTCCAAATGTTTTCCCCCCAAGTAACATACACTACTCTAAATTTTAAAAGACCCCTCTAATTCTGTACTGCCTATTATCACAAAGTTCTGAGAAATGAACAAAAATGACAGATTTTAGAATTCAGGTTTGTCTGCTGAAATTATTCTTTAAATAAAATCTTATAATACAAATGTCAAGATACAGTAAATGAAATACACTGGTAAAATAGGTTATGATTTTATATAAAAAAGTCTTTAAAAAATGTAAAGATTTACCCATCCTGTTAAATATTCTATTTTACATATGCAGAGAAATATATCCAAAACAAACCAATAATAAATCACCTCAAAATATCAGCATGAATACAGTAACTTTGCTTTTGCTTAACTCAGTGATTTTCAATAGGCGTGATGCAAGAATTTATAAAACATGCAATACCTGACTATTTAATCAAGGGCACTGACCTCCTTTCCCTTAGATTGTTAAAAAGAAAAATGACAACAGCCAAAAAAATAGCCATCCAGTGTGAATGCCCTGTCTTGAACCATAAATATATAGGTCATATAATAGAGTTGCATCTTATTGGTCACGTCCCATATGGTTGCATCTGATTGGTTAATTCTTGGTACCAGAAATTTTTATATACAAGTATAGGCACCTGATTTCTTAAAAAGTAACTTTGGAGCAAAAAGTGTAGGTACTTACTATTATTATTTTGTAAATCAATCAAAATTATACCTATTTTTTTTAGTCAGATCAGCAAAATAATATATTTTTTGGTGTGCCACAGAATATTAGTAATTAGTTTATGTGTATCACGTGATGAAAAAGGTTGAAAATCGCTGGCTTAATTGAATACTCCACCCATAAATGTAGTCCTGGGGTACATGTCTGTCATAGGAAAGGCTGTTTTACTGGGAGCAGAGGTCTCACTGATGGATGATAGTGGCTTACGGCAGCTGGAGACCATAT